GTGTACATGAGTGTGTATGTGTCAGTGTGTACATGAGTGTGTATGTGTGAGTGTGTATGTGTGTGTGTGTGCGCGTGTGAGTGTGTACATGAGTGTGTATGCGCCAGTACGTACCTGTCTAAAGATCTGCTTCACTAGCTCCGGGTCGACTGCGTGCTGCTTCAGGATCCGCATGTAGCTGTTGAGCTGGGGAACACACACACAATGACACATTAATGTACACACACTGACTGTTGAGCTGGGGAACACACACACAAGGACACATTAATGTACACACACTGACTGTTGAGCTGGGGAACACACACACGAGGACACATTAATGTACACACACTGACTGTTGAGCTGGGGAACACACACACAAGGACACATTAATGTACACACACTGACTGTTGAGCCAGAACACACACACAAGGACACATTAATGTACACACACTGACTGTTGAGCCAGAACACACACACAAGGACACATTAATGTACATACACTGACTTTTGAGCCAGAACACACACACAAGGACACATTAATGTACATACACTGACTGTTGAGCCAGAACACAAACACAATGACACATTAATGTACATACACTGACACATGATGGGAGGGGGGAGGGAGTCTGACAATAAGCTGCTCCACAAATTTTAGACTGCACTATAGCTAAAACACTTCTGTTGTCACAGGTGACCGTTAGAGGCGACAATATACTGGTTCTGTATCTAGCTAAAACACTTTTTGAAAAGTTGAGTAAGAGTTTTACGGCACTTGCAACACAAAAAGGTCATATAAGAGCCAAAAATTAGAGGTGTTACAAAAGAGTAACAAACACAAAAAAGAAGGAGAGATCAGGACGATTGACGTTTGGTAGGAAAGAAGGAGCAAGCCACACCAGAGCACCCATCAACCACCCACATTATAGGAAAAAACAGTTTTGTCGTCGATAGTGACAGTTAGTTCACTGGTTCCGTATCCAGCTAAAACAGTTTTGTTGTCAACCGTAACAGTTAGAGGCGACAAAAGTCTGCTTGTGTATCTAGCTATGACAGTGCCAGTCACAAATCTGGTTGTGTATCTAGCTATGACAGTGACAGTAAAAGTCTGGTTGTGTATCTAACTATAACAGTGACAGTAGATGTCTGGTTGTGTATCTAGCTATGACAGTGCCAGTCACAAGTCTGGTTGTGTATCTAGCTATGACAGTGCCAGTCACAAGTCTGGTTGTGTATCTAGCTATGACAGTGACAGTAGATGTCTGGTTGTGTATCTAGCTATGACAGTGACAGTAGATGTCTGGTTGTGTATCTAGCTATGACAGTGACAGTAGAAGTCTGGTTGTGTATCTAGCTATGACAGTGACAGTCACAAGTCTGGTTGTGTATCTAGCTATGACAGTGACAGTCACAAATCTGGTTGTGTATCTAGCTATGACAGTGACAGTCACAAATCTGGTTGTGTATCTAGCTATGACAGTGCCAGTCACAAATCTGGTTGTGTATCTAGCTATGACAGTGCCAGTCACAAGTCTGGTTG